TATATGAGGTGGCTCAACAATTCTTTGTTGGTTTGTAAAGCTTAAAAATTCGATAAAGGAACATTGTTTTTAAGGGTGTCAAAGATATTAAGAATGTTAAACAATCTGTTATAGCAGCGGCTGTTATAGAACCTAGGGTTCTGATAGTTAGAAATTTTTTTAAAATATAGATTTAAAAAAAATAGGATTCATTCATTAAATATTTTCAAAATAATTAATAAAATTTAGATTATTACATATTTTTAAATTAATTAATAGTCTTTCATTAATTAATGAATAAATTTCATTCGCAATTATGAATAAAATCTCGGGGGTTCTGCCGAAAGAAGGTTGATAGTTTAGGGTTTAACAGCTGAAAAAAATAGGGAAACCACTGTTAGAGGATTAGTGTTGTTTCTAAAACTTAAATAACCAGTGGAAGTTACTTTGAAACATATAAAATAAGCATGTAATTCACATAATATTTTATTGATTAGTCCTGGAAATAAAGACCAGCACCTTGTATTATTTATCCAATTATAATTTACAACTTCAAAAAATAACCACATTGGTTTTTGAGTGAACCCAATAAAAATGCAATATAATCAATAGTGAAATTAATATACACTTCTCAAAACAATTGAAGGATATTCAGGTTGCGGGTCGATCTTGCACCTGGAGATTTATTTGAATGATTGATACATTATCTACATAAGTAGTAGGCTATATGAGATAAAAATTACATTTGTTGGGCATGAAAAAATGCACTTTATTCAGCATTTGGAGGTGCAAAAGGAATCGAACACAATTTGTGTATACAAGAAAAACCAATAAAAAAAGGTGTTTCCTTAAAAGAAAATCGTTTCCAATAGGGGGTATGGTTTCCCCGACAGCCAACAACGTTAGACACCTTTGAGGCATCGAATCAATGAGGGGCTGGGATATTCTGTCCCACTTCTCCAGAAGAGCACTTTCCAGTTATTGGAGAGTTAGTGGGGGTGATACCCGTCCAGCAATTAGTCTGCCTAACCTATAATGTCCCTAACATGCTCGATTTGGCTCGTGTATGGTAAACACGCTGGCCAATCCATTCGTATGATTCCTTCCTCCAAAAGATAATCATTCACCAAGTTAGCACTATGTGGCCAGCAATTGTCCATTAGCATGAAGTCATCTCCAATTGCTGCAGCTTAAAGGATGACAGGATATCGTCCTTATATGGGTGACCGGAAAATTCAGCATAAGCTCCATTTCAAATAATATGGAGATCAGTGCTTCCATCAATGAAGATGCCACCATAGATCATCACTCCCCCAATGCCAAATCATTCACTTTTGTGCACGAATGGAGGATTGTTTCTATTGCCATGTTCCCTCCAGATGAAAAAACGAATATTATCAGGATGAACAGAAAACCGGGACTTGTCAGAGAAAAGAATATTGCGCCAATCATTTCTCCTCAATTTCACATGTTCTGTTGCCCACTCCCTACAGGCGGCGAGCATACAGCGTGTAGGCAGCTTTGGACAGTTTGTGTTGAAATTTATATTTCGGTGTCTCCGAGTCGTTAGCATTAAATAACGGTCTTCATTGGGCATTGTTGCAGACCTACGTCCTAGCCCTGATCTTCCACATGCATTTCCAATCTCCAAAAAATGATTCCAGATCCTGGAAATGAAACTCTTGAGTAATTACACTCATCAAAACAACAAGCTTACTGAATGTCGATCATTATTTTCTGCTTTATACTACATTAAGTTGAAAGCGAAATCAAATTCGCTGCCACTAAAGCGTTGTCTTCAACGTCAAACTCAACATTTTCATACTGCAAAATTTGAAAATAAGAACAAATTGCATTTGTAACTCTCTTCTTCCATTTTATGGACACAAAAAATTTGCTTTTACCGTTATTTTATACAAGACTTACAATATCCTTTAATTGTTTTGAGCAGTGTATAATAATTTTTGGGAGTCCTTGGAAGTTTTATAACTCTTTAGAATGGAAACTTTTAAATATTGGGCTGTCTAATTTTAGCACACAGGGCAATAGTCACAGTTTCCTCCTTCATTTTTGAGATTAAAAAAATATATTATAGGTAAAAATTAATGCATATTGACTATTTACAATTAAATAGAAGCTTAAATTTATATGTCACTAAATTTAAATGCAGCATATTTAAAAATTTATTTTTAATTTGCAGAATTTAGTATGTGATTGTCACAAAGCTGAAAAAATTATATACCAAAATTTGTTTTAAAAAAATGGTTATCTGAAAAAATTATTTCAACTTAAATATTTTCTAAAAATTTTTTATCGCCTATTATTTTATTTAAATATTAATGACAGTTATTATAAATTAAGCATTGGAATTTTTTTGAGAAAAAATAAAACATTAACCAAAAGTATGAAAGTAAAAGTTGATTGATGTAATTTTATGGAAGCTTTTTTGCAACAGCAAAAAAGGAGTGAACACAATAAATAGAAAATTGTATTGCAAAACTGGAATGAATAACTCATAACAAAAAGCGTTACATAGAAAGCATTTATCAAAAATAAATAAATAAACATTCTCTGCAATATTTTAATTTAATGCAGCTTACTATCAGTCAGAATCTTCTTGTGGTTCTTCATCATTTGTTTTAATCAATTTCCATTCTTCGGCTTTTTTAAGTGCATCTTGAACCAAGTCCTTCACTTTTTGAGGAACATCATCTACTTCTGGCCTTGTTAGAGCCATCAAAATTTCAAGAAGATTAGTTTCTATGATTTTCTCTGCACAAGCACGATTTGAGTGAATAAGGTTGTGAACAATGGCAACACCTCGGTGACAGATGTCTTTATCAGCACTAGCAGTAAGTTTGCACAATATTTCTAACCAATCTTTTACCTATTATCAAACACATGAAAAATTTTATTTTCTAAAAGGAAATTTGATTTTAATTTCATCCATTACAAATTGATACCTATATAACAATACCAAAGTAAATGAAAATTCATAATGGAGTTATAAACAAAAAATATTATTTCCCAAATGGAAAAAAATTTGATAGCACATCAAAATTTAAAAATAAAAGTAATTGTTTAACAATGGTTACGTTAGTAAAGCTTTACTAAAAAAAATAAAAATAACTCAAAATTTACTTAAACTAAGTATATTGTATGAAAAATTAGAAATAAATAAATTTTTAAATGATGAAAAAGATTGTATTTTCTTATGCAGGTAAGGCAGAGTTCCTTAACTTTTGGAACTAGAAACAAATTTTAACTCAGTTTACTAATTTTTTGTATGTATTGTGCCTTAACTATTCTGATTTAATTGTTATAATTTAGTTTATTAATATCAATGATAAATTATTTAAATTTCACAGAAAAAACTAAATGCCTGATTAAAATTAGGGGTAGATTAACTGATTAAAATTAGGGGTAGATTAACTGATTAAAATTAGGGGTAGAGATTGTTTCAAAAGTATAGAACTGTTAATGTACTGCATTTTGATTACTAATGAAAAAATATATCAATAATGGTAAGGATGTGCATGTAATTTGGATAAAACTTATTTGCAAGGCTTTTAAATTTAAATCTGTTTAATATTATCACAATATTAAAAAAGATATATAATATTATATATATATATACAGTGCAGAACCTCTTATCCGGAAATCAGAAAACCAGATAACCGGAATGAAATTCGGAACCGGAAATTAATTTTCTTCCATTAAAAGAATTTTTTTTTCTTGCAAGATTTTGAGCCCATTTTGTTATTTAGAGCGTACGGCGTATCGAGTTGACGAAAGAACTGATTTAGAGGACGAATCAAAAGCAGTTTGTAGACGAATCTCACATAAGCACAAATAGCTTATATATGTTATTAATGTTAATAATAACATATATAAGCCTGTATATAATTTTTATTTCATAATTTCTTTCCTTATTCAAACTTAAGTGTATTATTATTTAAAATTTTTTATTATTTCTAAAACTATTTCAAAATGATTTTTTAGTTTCGTTTTATAAACATTAAAAAAACGGCATTTTGTAGCGATTCAGAAAATCGGAAAAATCAGTTATACGGAATCGCGATGGTCCCGATCGTTCCGGATAATCGGTTCTCTACTGTATATATATATATATATACATACATATATATAAACACCATTACAATAGTGCATTTTCACTAGTCAAAAAAAAAAAATATTTTTTCCTTCTTTCAAAAACTAATACCTTAATGCAATAATTTAGCACATGAAAATAGACTTTGATTCAGATAATATGTTTTATAGATTAAAAGTTATTACTACAGTAAAAATTTTTTCAAAAAATTATATCTTAAAACAAAAAATACATGAGTCTCAAATTGCTTTTTATAAATAACTCAAATTGCTTTTAATAAAAGTATGCCATAAAAATCTTTGCAGATATTCGAACGAATTGTATAAAATACTTACTCAAAAATATACTTACTTCTAGTACTTTTTTGCAGACTTTCTTACTAACACTTGTCAGCATTGCTATAGCACCTGATGCTGCTTTAGATGTTTCTAAATCTTCATCATCAGATACTAATAACATAAACTTTACCCTATCATTTTCTGCTTCATATAAATGGATGATCTAAAAAAATGGCTACATTATAACACTAGGCTTAATAGTGGACAGAAATAATAAGGACAATACTTAAAGAAAAAAATAGTAAAATTTTTCGTAAAGTATATAATACAGACTACTTTTAAAAAGGGCAAACGACAAAGTAAAAGAAAAATCATTTGTTCCACTTAAATAAAACAAAGGCGTATATCATTGACAAAGAATAATAAATATACTATACTTAATTTAAGAGTTACTTTTTTCAAAACAGAAAGTTTTTAGCAGTTTCCAGAATAATTTTATTAATAGAGCAATTCATAACAGCTTGAATGCGTAAATCAATACATAGCTGCAAACATTGAAAAATACACATGCAAATTTTTTTTTTCAAGCTTTAAGTACCTTAAATTTTTACTTATCTTTATAAACTATTCTAAATCTGTTACTCCAAAAATTTATTCATAAGACTAAGGCTTAAATAAACAAAACTAAATGAAATTGAAGCTTATAACAATCTATTTTCAATTTGAGAATTTATTTCATACGCCACTGCAATAGGATATATTTTAGATTCATAGCAACTGAAAAGGGCTGATTTTGAATTACTATACAAGAAAAGTATACTGTTCACTATAAATTAGTCTCATCATATTTGTTATTCTAGTCTTTCTGGAACATGATATTCTAATAGTAGATGCACCATGCTAGTTTTTTTTTTTTTTTTTTTTTTTTTTTTTTTTTGCTTTTCTCTCACTTTGCATGAGAATAACAATCATGTGTGTAAATGTTTTAAGAAAAATTTCAACTGCAAAAATGTAAGGCTTTTTGATATTTTGGTAACATTTCGGAGATTTAAATTTATTTTGGGAGTCAAGATAATTTCTCAGAAAATCAGATTTTCTTGGGAGTGTTGGCAGCTATGTTAATCCTTGTTTGGGATCAATCCTTTAAAAAATCAGACGAAAGATATAAATAAGGAAACAACAAAACTTAACCCCACAAGTATTCTAACTGCATTTGCTAAAATTAAAAAATAAAAACTTATGACATCTGAATTTATTAACATAAAAATTTTATTATGTAAAAATGTTAATTAAGTTTTGTTTTCATGCAAAAAATAAAAATATTAAATCCTTCAGATAATGCTACTTGTCTGAACAATGAACATAAAAAGTAAATTCCACCCAAGTTTAAATTATTGAATTTTGTTACAGTAATGATAAAAGAAATAATTTAATCAATATAGATTTAGGAACTCATTCAAATCATAATGTCTTTCAAAGGACAATTCCAAAGAAGAAAATAAAACTTGTAAATAAATGTTACTAGATGTAACTTATTCCTGATGGTATTTTTAAGACTATTTTAACAACTTTCCAATTTATAAGAACAATATATAAACTAATTCTTGTGAAGGTTTAAACTGAAAGTCATACATACATCTTCACATAATACAAGATTAGATACACACTGCACACCAGCTCTTCTCAGCATTTCATGATCTTGATACATGTATTCTTCAATTTTTGTGATACCCGAATCTTTAAGAATGCGCTGCCTAAAATCAACAACAAGATTAAGTTTGAATTATATAGATGACTACAATTGCAAATTGAAAAAAATATATATATATATGCAAATGGCTACAATTCCGTTTTTATTTGTTGTTACTGAGGTCAATTAGTGTATATTGCTTTTAATGAGTCAAAAGAAAACATAAAAAACAACCATTGATTGCAGCTTTTTTGACTAATAACTAATAAAACTAAAAAATTAAATTAACGTGCTAAAACAGAATCAATGGTTAATTTATAAAAAAATTAACTTATACTATGATTAATTAATAGAATAATTAATAGAATACAATAAATTGCTTCATATTATTTTATTTACTAATTGTTATTGACATTAAAAAAACACTAAGTTTTTATTGTTTCAAAATATACAGATTTGGTTCATAGCTATTGATGCCAATTGTATTAAGGGGAACTACAAAAAAAAACCCTGCAAAATATGAACATTTACAAAATATGTTTTAATATATTTACTACACCTCTTGATAGTGAATTAATTTCAAAACTATATAAAAATCCTTAGTTTTACAACATTTCATAAAAAATTTAAAAAAATATTTAAGTAACTAAAATATTGACTATTACAGTATCACGGACGAACCTAGTGCAGTGCAGACAATACTACACTGAGGGCTATATTGTAACGCTGTATCCAGTAATAAAAAAAGTACAAAGTACTTATTCAATGGATATTTAAGGAACTAAAATATCATCTAATACAGCATCAGGAACATATTTGGTTAAAACAATACAACAGTGATTACCACATTGTGACAGTCCAATAAACAATAAGGCTTAAATAAAAAAAGCATATAAGAGGAAGTTGGGGTTAAAGTAAAATTTAAGAGATTAAATAAATTGTTTAGTTATTAATAGCTTTGAAAATCATTGCTCAATTATTGAAGAATATAGGCATGCATAAATTTGCATTAATTAGTCAGATTTTACTTTCGCAATAAATATGTCCAATAGTGTAATATTAATTGTGATTATATAATACTTAGAGATACTTATTTTTATAAAATAATAATAGCACTTTAGAAGTATTGAACATAATTTCAAATTAGAAATATTGAACTTAATTTATTAGCTACAACATAATTTCAAAACAATATTCACAAATAATTTATTGTTAATGTGTTTGTGTATCATTCATGAAACTGGATGTGCTAGCAAACAAGATTTAAAACTGGAATGGGAAATAAAATAAAAATTTTTTTAAAAAGATGTAGGAAGTCATAATTACCTTACACTTTTGCTAACTTGTGCCAAATTTGTTAGAGCCATTAAAGCTTCAAAATTCTGAAGTCCTTTACAATCAGGATGAAGAAGTGCCATTATTGGACGTACTACTTCAGCACACTGTTGGATGTAAAACAAATTTTAGTTCATAATTAAATTAAAACATAAATGAGAAAAAAAATTAATATGATACAAGATGAAGTTTCAACATAAAACGAGATTTTATTTAAATTATATAGTTGTGCTTTTCAATTTTTATTTAAAACAATCAAACATATTTAATAATAAAAAATCAATGGAAAAGAAGACAGAATTTAAGAAAGCACGCAAAAGAGGAATAAAGGAGTAATGATAAATCTCAGTAATCAAATCTGAGGTAAGTTAAGAATACTATTTTTTTTTGTTCCAATAAATTAGTAAATGAAATTATTTTTAAAATCAGTTTCTTATATTGCCATTTGTTAATCTAAAATAATGATAATTATTATTTTTATTAAAATAACACACATTAAGACACTTTTAAGATAATATTTATTCCACAAATATCGCATAGAAATTATAAAAGTTCTGATTGTTAATTTTAGAATTATTTTTAGTTATAATTTCAACATCATTGACAACTAATAGAATTGGAGAAAATAATTAAAATTACAAATTACAGGAATGCACACAATATGCAGCTTTTTGGTTGCTAAAAGAGTATAAATTCATGAGAGAAACATAAAATTGCATCAAAATATTTGTTAGAAATATTGAGGCTACTTACTCTTTGCCCAGGAAAAGCTACTTCAGGATTGATAGTAATGGCTATTCTGGATAGTGCTTGAGCAGCAGTCAACTTTCCTTTATCGGTTCCATCTAATGCCAAGTTTACCAGCGCCTGAAAAATAGAAAAACAAAACATTCATTTACAAGTTTGGTAGATTACTATAAAAACTCACTGATATTAGAAAAAATATTGCACAAGCAAATATTGTGAGCATATATTTTATTTTTCAATATTTTCTCAGCTTCGAGTCATACATTCAATCTGAAGCATTTAATAAAAACAATACATGAAAAATTAAAATTATACAGAAACATTTTAATACAACAAAACTGCATTAATTTTAAAATTTAAAAAAATTAATAAATGAAAATTCTCACTTTAGCACCACCTTGTTGCACTACAGAACCTCTTAAATCTTGCTGCTCACATATTGCATTGAAAACTCTGCAAAAATTAATATTTAATGTTATAATTTCTGAATGTACGGCTCTGGCAAATAGTTAAAGTACAGTAAAATTTTGATTATATGACACCCTTTGACAGGTTAGGGAAATGGGCAGTTGTCATTTCATTAATTCGCGCAGTATTACGAGCAAACAGTAGTCGAAAGTGGCAGATGTTTTCCGCCGCCGTTCTTCCGAAATGTCACCCTTCTCTGGCGATGCCGTAGATAGCTCGCCTCACGAATTTTAAAAATTTCTTAAAGTATTTGTAGTACATAAATAACAGTTTCTACGTGCTTTAAAATAATTAATAAATAATAATTATTAATAGTAAATTATAAATTATTAAAATCAATTATATAAATAATTGTTAATTATAAATATAAGACAAATATTAAATTGAAAGACTAAATAAATACAACTAATGTAAAACTTTGTGAAGCATTTAAATACAGTAATTACCTAAAACATCAGACTCAAAACTTGATAAGCTTTCTGCATCACAATCATAATCATCTAACTTTCACTTTTCAGTCATTTTACTTTACAAACACCCTAAAAAACGCGCCAAAATACGCATAAAAAGAACAAGGTAAAAAAATTAATTCCCCATCATTATGAAAAAAAATTCAGGGAACCCGTACTGACATCTCTAGGCAGTAAAACTAACTACGTTTTGCGAGTAGGATTCGTTTTTAACATAATCAATGAAGAATAATAATGGCGAACGAGCTCAGCTTGTCAGCGCGGATTGGGGGGAAATTTCACAAGTGAGTAATGCTCGTTACTAACAATTACGGTCAAAATCTTGCTCCAGAGCGGAACTCGTTTGCTCATATTATGAAGCACGATTCCATTGCGAGCCGAACTTGTTCATAACCGTCAAAGGGTTAAATTATAAAACAGAATTTATGTTAGAAAATCAAAATACTCAGAAAATCGGGGGATCTTTTTCAAACAGATTTCTCTTAAGTTACCAATTTTCTTATATCTGTACCTTGAACTTAAAGATGAAGTAAAATTATTTAATGAGTAAGTACGATAAAAAAACCTCCTACTTACTAGCATTTTACTTTTCCATCATAAATAACCATACCATTTCATAAAAAAATAATTTTTTGGTTTGTTTTTCTGAAATCTAAATTTTTGAATCAGAATCATTGTTACAATATCTCAATAATGATGAAACGAGTGTCAAACAACATCACTAATACAGATAAAATAAATGTTGCACCATTAAGTTCGACTGCACTAAAGAACTCAAAAGGAAAAGAAATGGTTCCACCTTACCTCGAAATTAATTCTTTGCTATTTTTGCTTTCAGATTTTGATAAAGCAACAAGAGCTGTTGTGATACCCAAATCACACAAGGTTTTTACTCGTTTGTCAACAAACTCTTTAGCATCCTAAAACAAAGGAATATTAATTTATTTATGTGTTTTATCTACTTAATTATCTCATATTTTACTTGAAAGTAAGTAATTAAAGAATAAAAAAAAATAAAGAATAATTAAAGAATAAAAAAAATTATTTAAAATTATCAATTTCACTTCAAAGTGAAATTGATAATTTTAAATAAATAAAGAGTTGTTATAAGGTGTTCAAATTAACTTTGAAATCAATCAATATGAAGAATATTAATTGATTTCAAAGATCAATATTAATAGAAACTGAAAATTGAGAGGGAATAAATTTTTCGACTCTTTTAATTATGAAAAATAATGGGAAAAGCATAACTTCACGAAACTTATTGAAATTATAGTGAAGGTGAGGTAAAACATTCTTTTCAGCAATTTTACTTTTTAATTATAAGCAGAGCCCGGATTTTGATGACCTAAAAAATCTCAATCAATGCCCTTAAAAAGTGCAAAAAATGCCCTTACAAACTGCAAAAAATGCCCTTAAAATGCGAAAATTGAGCTAAAAATGCCTTATGACATGACTTAAATAGAAGTAAAAATATTGAACTAAAACAATGTTTTACTCTTTAAAATTATTATGAGTCGTTTCAAAAATATAAAGCAATGCAATACTTGTTCTACGTTCATTAAAGTTTGAAAAATATGTTTAATATCCTAAAATAGCAAAAAAAAGGAAAATATATTGACTCCAAAACATTTTCATTTTGTATAGAAACTTAAATGAATATAACAACTTCCATCTCTTAATATTACTAAATATCAGAATTACAGTGGATTATAAATTTTTTTTTAATACTTTGAAATGTAAATGAGCGTCTCTTGTCTGAAAGCAAATTTTTATACCAGGAGAAGCTTCTTTCAACGTCTACTGATGTTATTGGTGCGTACTTGAAAAGGACGGTCACACTTACTGACAATTCTTCTTCAATTTGAAAAGATGTTGCTTCACCTGTTAATATCCTAGAGATTTTCTTCATTGTTTGGAAGCCAGTGTAATAATAAAAAATTATAAAAAATAATAAAAATTAGAAAAAATTAACAAAAAATTTAAAAAATGCTTTAAAATGCAAAATACGCCCCAAAATTTAAAGAAAATGCCCTATAAATCTCAAAAAATGCTCTGAAGGACAAAAAATGTCCAAAAATGCAAATGTCATCAAAATCCGGGCCTTAATTATAAGTAATAAAAATTTAAAGAAATTAATAAAAATAAATTATTTTAAAAGAAATTAAAAATATTATTTTATAAGAAATCCTCTAGATATTGTACAGAATCTTTTGCTTTATATAGTTGTTTTGTTAAAAAATATATTATAACTGGAATATTTAATATTAGTTTAGTTTTTACAATTAGAAGCAATTCTATAATTACAAAAAGTTTAATAAAGTTAAGATCTACAGAAAAAATTCCTTAGTTTACATACAGTAGTTGAAAATAGATTAAAAAAACAATTATTTGCTTATAATCACAACTTTAAATGGACATGATATTGTTTGATGGCAACCAGAGTTCTCATTAGGAATAAAAAAGAGAAGAGCGCTTTCTCTCTGAAAAAGGGTACTTGATGGGAAAAGGTACCTCTCTGTAAAAGGGTTTTGCAAGGACACTCACTTAACATTGTAAATATTTATCAAAATGTGTAATATATGCAATAACTGAATTTTCTGCTCAACAATTTTTAAATTATCCTCTCATACTATTTTAAGAGTATATTTCAAACGGTAATTCTTTCTCATTATCAAAATAAGAGAAAAATTTGTAGTATAAAAATAATTAAAGGCACGTTAAATGGTGCATATTTTTTTAAAAAAAAAAGTAAACTAGGAATAAATTATTAATTGATAAACAACTTGAACTCAATAATTTAAACTGAAAATTATGAGAAAATGAACATTTAAAGATGGATTTAAAAAAAAAAAAAAAAAAAAGATATTTATTTGGAAAAATAGTTTTCTAATTTAAAATCAATTAAAAATTTAGTAATATTTTCAGCCCCTCAGAAAAAAAGATACTTGTAAAAATTTATCCAGTTAAAAATAATCATAAAAGGTAAATATTTGCAATAGTAATCAGATTTAAACCCACAAACACAGAAAATTTTACTAATGTGTAATTATTATTTTAAACAAAATTTTTTCAAAACGGAATCTGAATAAAAATGCAGTGTTTTTAAGGGATGGCGGCTTACTTTAACAAAACGGGAGTTTTTATTGGGGGCAAAGGGCAAGTAGGGTAGGCTGTCCATCAAAAAACACTTAGGCAGAACATCTATACATTTACAAATTTATTTAAACAGATTAATCATTTTATTATTAAAAAAACAGTAAATTACTCCACATTAATTTTGCAATTTAACAAATTAAGCATTATCACTCTGTGTTCAAAATAAAATTACTTTACCTTAATATGAGTCTCAGGTACATGTTGTTTGGCAAATTTAGCTAACTCAACAAGCTCTGGTATCATTTCTTCAGAGTCATAACTATTGGTAAGATTCACCAAAGTAGTAACACAACCATATACTACAGATAAGTCTCCGGTCTGTTAAAACAAAGTGAAACTATTAACATCAAACATAATAAAAGAAAGACACACAAAAAGTCAGTAATCAGTTTACTAACTTTTGCAAGTTCTATCAGGGCTTGTATAGCTTGGTGGTCTTCGATGAGCTCTTCTTTGACATCAGCATCTAGAGTTAAATATGAAAGCCCTTCTACTGCCCATTTTCGTAGATCTTTATCCTTTTTAGGATTGATAAGAAATCTGGTTTGAAATTCCAGACAAATAAAAAAAAGTATTAAAATGACAATATAGATGAAAAAGCCTATATTCAAATAATCAAAACATGTTAAAAATATAGCTACATTTCAACTTTAAAATGTTGCTATAGTATGTTGATGGTTGAAATTTAAACTATTTTGACATTAAGAGCAAGCGTCTGTATTAAATATACATAACTTTATTTTAAGAATGTAATACTTAACTATTTTAAATAATAATTTTACTTTTATAATACTTACATTGTACAATGTATACACTCAAAGTGTACATTAAGTGTAAAATTTTATTTACTTCTTTTATGATAGAATACAAGACTTATAATAATTATTAATGACTTAAATATAGAAAAAAAATTAAATGAATAAAATTATAGAAAATAAATTACAATTATTTTCCTAATGAAATTTAAACAGACACTTGCTAATTTTAACTTTAATGGCTTTTTAATATGCTATATAGATATTAGACACTCTTGGAAGCATTATACCAGCACTGCAATAAAACCAGTTTTAATCAGTTTCTTATAGCTAATATCCAGGAAATATAATTCGAAGAATCCAGAAAAGCAAAGAAAATAGTTATGTAGTTTTAGAAAGACAAAAAATTTTAACAATAGATTTAAAAAAAAAAAGAAGAAAACACTAACAGTCTAAAAGATTGTGTATTAACCTTCTCTTATGAACCATTTGATACATTTTCAATTAATATAGACTACTCTTGTAACAGTACTAACTCGAATCCCAGGGAGAAAAAAAAACATGCGTATGTTTGGTAGTAACTTTCTTAAGATTCTCTGTTTGTTACAACTGACATTGATCTAGTCACATTTCTGTTTTGAAAAAAGATAATGTTTATTAAGAAATGATGTTAAAAAAAAAACCATTGTTCTAAATAAGTTATGGAGCATTTTGTTATCAGTAAGTGTCCAAGAAGAAATTAATTTTAAATTAAGGAATTACTCTTATTTTAATAATGAACTATGTATATTCGGTAATTAACTTTAATTAATTTCCACAGCCCCCAAACAAATTAAACAGTACTAATTTTTAAAACAAATTCTTTACCATTGCAAATAGTCTTTTCATGTAATTCCAACTTTAATATGCACACTTTAGAACTGACATACAACAGTTTGGGCTCTGCTGCTCAAACAGTTTCAAAAAGTGATTTTTGAAAGAAGAAAAAAAATTATGCATTGTAATGATAACTCGTATTAAATAATATAAAATTGCATTTTAATTTAAGGTATATAGATCAAGGTATTTAAGGTATCAATATAAAATCAAACATTCATCTCAAGGCTTTGACCTACTCTACCTCTGGTTAGAAAGCAAGCAGCTGCTTACTACAGTTTATTCTGCGAGGCAATATACTCAAGCAGATAATTTTGTCTTTAATAAAAGAAATAAATTATATAATTTCTGAACTGAAATCTGCTGTATTTCATAAGACATTAAGTCATTCTGGTGAGTTTGAAGTGAAAATTTGTTTTAGTTATTTAAAGATGCATTGTTAAAGAAGGTGGCATGGTTGTTTGATTTAGAAAGAACTCGTTTTTTTGGCAGTCTCGATTTGGCTTCTTTTTACTTATTTATTACTGTTTTGTTCTTGTTGCAAGCCATGCACCATCTAGTTTTAGCATATTGTTCAAGCAGTGAGATTGAGTTCATTTTACAAATTATCTTTTAGGTTTAAATTTTGAAATTGATATATTGTTGATAAGGTAAGAAATATCTTATAATGCTTCTTTTTTTCAAATGACGTTTCTTTTTTTAAACACAAATAATAAATCAGGTAACAAATACAGGTATAGATGAAATAATACTCAAGATAGTCTCAAAACACAATGATCATGCTGTGAGTCAAATTGTTTGCAAAAACACCAGAAACAGTAACCCGAAAAAATAGGCAGTAAAGAGCATTGAGTCACTCTAGTATAGAAAACACCATTCATAAAACAATTATGTTTAAACTTCTTACAAATAAAGCAATAAAATTTAATAAAAATGGACAATTTAAAGAAAACGAATCAAGTATATTACTTGCGACAAGCATGGGCAAGTTTTAATGCAGAACCTTCACTAAACATTTTTATAGAAGCATCAAAACCACCAACAGATCCAACTTTGCAAAGACCCTATGAATGTATTAAATATTAATTAGTCACAAATACAAAAAACAATTTATCGTTATTAGCCTAAAAGGAAAAAGTGTTATTCATATTAAATAATTTTAATTACGATAAATACAATTCATCAAAAAAATTCTAAAAATGTTTAAACACTAATTTTAAATATTTTTTTTATTTAAAAAAAAATGAGGCAATAAAAAAGCAATCAATATGAACATTATAAAGCATAATAAAAAGATGTGTAATGATTTTTATACTTAATTTATTGACTTACATTTTATTGTCATTAATTATTGTTATGAAAAATATTGTTAGATATATTGTTACAAATAGTAATAAAAAATAACTCTTTTACTTACTACAAGAGCTCGAACTTTGATATTGTCATTTTTGGACTGATATAATTTTTTCAAAATATCAGTACCCATGGAGACAATTGCAGTACATTTGTCTTTTTTAGAAGCAGCAGCAATTATAGCTTCCGCTGATACTCTCTGAAATAAAAAAATAGCATAATTCATAAGTTATTTAAACAAACAATTTTATTGTATAAATTAATACAAGTTGCTACAGAAATGCACTATGTTAGATTGACAATACATTTATTCATTTTTACTTTCAAATTATTTTTTTATTATATTTTATACACATATAATTTTATATGTAACCTGTTTTGTAGAAAGAGTTACACATGGAAATACTCTTTTACAAGTACATTAAACTTCTAATGCATTCTTTTATTAAAATTTAGCGAAGCAATAAGTAGTTACGTGATATGTATAACCTGTCAGCATGCACCATACATGTTCAAAACTTATTGATTGCATGATATAGACATAATGATTAAATGACTTCTTCATGTGCTTAGTCAAAAGTTCTATATTAGTCTTAATCAGAATAATTCTGACTTGGCTATTTTTGATAGTTCTGCTATGTTTTTTATTTTAAAAAAAAGAATGTTTCATCTTTGTTCGTTGACTATGAACTGGTATTTGTGGACGTGTGGCGTGGGTAATATTGCTCGCCTCCGTGACTTTGGTTCACAGGTGCCCACTGGGTAACGATAAATTATCAACACTTCCGGCATCTTCAAAGCCGAAGAACGAAAGTTCAGTGCCTGTTGTTATTTTTAAAAAAAATTCTTTGTTCTTTGAACATCAACCAATATATATATATANTTTTTGTTATGGAGTGTATATATATATGTGTGTGTGTGAGGGAGTTAGAGAGCCTACTTCTACTCCTAGATGGCACTGTCTCTATGTTAGAGGGAGAGACTCAGGCATTCTTAGTGAAGCATTGTGTCAGAACGAAAGTGAAAAAGCCTATGTGGCAAACAAAAAGACTTTATCTACTTATCATAGAATGTCTGTGTGACAAATTTCAAGTCTACAATAAGTTTATGTTTTTTTCCCCAAAGTTATTAAATTTATTTGTTATGTTTAACGTATTAGTTATTTCGTATTAGTATACTTTGAAGTAGCTCGGCCAGCATACCCGATATATATATATATATATTCAACTTAATGCATGTTATGTGGTACAAAATTTAAAATAAAATTTTACTATTTTTCTTAAATTTATACCTATAAGAGAAACAAATATTTTTAATTGTGAAAAAAATAATATGATATAGTCTCAAAATAATAATCAACAGTTTTTTTTAGTTTTCTAGCTTTTCATAACTAACGAACGATGCACAAAGTAATGTTATACACCCACACAGACCAAGCTTAACTGATTAAAAGATACATAACTTTAAAATTGTGAAAATTTTTCAGAAAACAGATTACATTTTATTTTATAAAAAATATTCAAAGAAAAAGAAAATATTTATTTTTAACTATTAAAAAGTTAAATTGTTTTAACCGGTGTGCTATTTTAATCAAAATAGTAAAATGATG